TTAACACTATCTTCGTTGCCTTTCGTACTACGTTTGGCCGTGGCGTATTCCCATTCGCTGGATGAGAGTCGAGGAGGTACATGGTGGCTCCCCAGAGTCTACGACTTGCGCTTGAAGTCAAATTCACTTATGTAATTGAGGCATTTCAGTGGATAAAGTCTTGCAAGATATTATGCAACCGGCTGACTCATGTTTTATACCGCACAGAAGACTGCCCATACATGGCCGCCACGTACCTTTTGCATGCTCGGTGATGAAAGCTTTGCTCCCATAAGGCGGAACATGCGCCATGGAATGACCATCTCCCAGATGCGACAACGGAGTCGATAAAATGTGGTCCCTGCTAGAAGCTTTTATCGTGGCTCAATTAATTGAGGGCAGTTTTAATTTTCGGTCTTTTATTGCCTAATGGTGCTCCCGCAAGCTCGCCCTAGCTGCACGAAAAGAGGATATACGACTCTTTAGCTTCCTAACACTTACCGTCTGCCAAACCTTCGCGATCATAATCCAACTTTGTTGAATATTCAATCACGCGATATGCCGAACAACCGTGAAAAGAAAACTGATTGGAGCGATAGGCTACAAGAGGCGGCGGCCGCGAATAGGGAACTAGAGAAAGTACGGGAATTACTCAAAGGAGTTGACGTTAAAGTGAGGGATAATTTAGGCAGAACCGCTCTACACGATGCGGCATCCAACGGGTGTGACAACACGGTGCTGCTGCTACTCGAGAAAGGGGCTCTAGTCGATGCAAAGGATAAGTCCGGAAGAACGGTGCTGCATGAGGCAGCGAAGAAGGGGAATGTAGAGGCAGTACGGCGGCTGCTCAAAGTAAGGGCAGATACTACGTTAAAGGACGGCATATTTGGAAAAGCAGCGTTACACTGGGCAGCGAAGAAAAAGCACGCAGAGGCAGTGAAGCTACTGCTAAAGCATGGCGCTGACGTCGAAGGAATAGATAAGTACCAAGCAACGACGCTGCACGACGCTGCAGAGAGCGGGAGCGAGGTCGTGATGCAGTTGCTACTCGAGGAAAAGGCTCCCGTCGATGCAAAGGACTCTAAGGGAAGGACCTCGCTTCACTGGGCAGCGAGATACGGGCACGAGGCGGTTGTGAAGCTGCTGTGCGAGAACGGCGCCGACCTCGCCAGTGAGGATAGCGAGGGACGGACTGTGGTGCATTATTTAACGAAATATCTCAAAGAAATTATGCTGTTCTGGGCAGCGGAGAAAGGGTATGAGGATTTAGTTGTGGTGTTGCTTGATGGAGAGGCGTACGTTGACGCAAATGACAAGGACTACGGGACGGCGCTGCACCACGCCGCCTGGAACGGAAATATGGCGGTGGTCTAGCAGCTGCTCGAGAAGGGAGCCAATATTAACGCTCGGGGATGGTCTTCACATCGATGGAAAGTTCTCCAAGCCGCAGCTAGAAGACGTTATTGAGAGGCTGCTAGCAGCAGGTGCCGAGGTCAATGCTGCTCCTGCTGGAAATGATGGACAGACAGCACTTCAAGCAGCAGCTGAAGTAGGCCATCTAAAGGCTGTTAAGAGGCTGCTAGCAACAGGGGCTGATGTCAATGCTGCTGCTGCCTAGTATCGCGGACGGACGGCACTTCAAGCAGCAGCTGGAGGTGGTCATGGAGAGATTGTTGAGACGCTGCTAAAAGCAGGGGCCGAGGTCAATGCTGCTGCCTCGGAGTATGGACGGACGGCACTTCAAGCAGCAGCTGGAGGTGGTTATCGAGAGGTTGCTGAGAGGCTGCGGGCAGCGGGCGCGCTTGATTGAGATTCAAATCATATTTTCCTCGTTGTGTTGCCTCGTCATCTGCGACGGCGTAGGGTTGACTATCGTGGCTGCGCAGCGGTAAGCCTCCACAAGATCTCCATGTATATTATCCTCGTTGCCATATATCTGGCTTGTCTGGATACCCTCCGCAATTGACCAGGTATTGGGCAATCCTTGTTGGGATTCAATGGCTGTAGAGATCACGTGCAACATATAATATAAGCTTGACTGTTCTCCACTGGGTACATCTCTCAATACATGGCGCACACGATTGATGGCATCGCAAGGTGCATCGAGAATGTGAACAACGAACCTGTTTTCGTCAGCATATCCCAGGGTTTCAGGAAGGACGCGAGAATCTTGAGGTCCAGAGCGAGAAAACGACGATTTACCTCGCAGGCAGAGAAACAAAAGCCATATTCTGCCCCATTATGACAGACCCTCCGACAGATGTGATTACAGGTTCCAAGGCGTCGGCTGCACACCTTGGTACAAGAGGCATGTTTGACAACTGGCTGGTCGTTGGCGTCCTTGCGATAACACTGACCACAAGTCCCAGGACACCGGTGCCCACATGCCAGGTCTATTCTGCAAGCTGTAGGACAGCTGAAAGGCGAAGATGCCATATCTCGAGAACATGGGACTTCGATAATATGGTTGCAATCCGGAAGTTGCTTTTGAACAGGGACACTACAATCAATTCTGCTGAGATTTAGTGTCTGGTGGCAAAGAACATCGTCCTTCGAATACGTGCAGGGAAGCCGGATATTATTCTGTCTGATCATACAAGGACCACAATCTTTGCCGCAAGTTTGCTTCTGGCAGCTATGATTGCACGGGCTGTGGAGGCGTTGACAAGGCTGAGGACATTCGAAGATTCGGTGCAAATTCTCGGAGTGGCAGTTCGCTTGGCATCGGTGGCCACACTCAGTCAGGCGTTGATCGCAAGGAAGCTGGCACCTGCCTTCGGGACTGAGTTTTTCGAAGTCAATTGGCTCAAAGGCTTGCATCTCCGTATCCACGTCTCGAGGGCAGCAAAGACCGAAGGCCTTGCCAACAAAATCTGTTGCTTGTAACATACGAAGGACTTGTGTCCACATAGGCACATTGGAGTAAGTATCGGTATTGCTGATGAGGTATATGCCGTGCTGAGCTCGGCTGAGGAGGACATTGATTCGATTTGTCGTCCTGAGAAATCCTACCTTCTTCTCCTTATTACTTCGAACCAGTGACACAATGACGATCTTGGCCTCTTCACCTTGGAAGCTATCGACGGTAGCAACTCTCAACATATCACCAAGCTTCTTTTTCTCTGGTGGTCTCCTCCCAGATCCTGAGTGCGCCTGCTCGCCTTCTAAAAGAGTTGTCTCGTCGTCGAACTCATCTCTGGCAAGCGTTTTCTAGTCACGTTCGCTGAGAACAATCTTGAAGTCATTACGCGTCTTCTCACGTAATTTCTGCAATTGCCCGGTGTATGGAATCAAGACTGTAACATCGCCACTGCTGTAGACACCCTGGCGCACGATGTGTCGAACAAGCGCGTGTGTCATTTCCGCCTCCCAGATACTGCTATGCGACCTTTGATGCCAGTCTGGGCTGGGACCTTCTTCAACGCTCTCGTGGTCGAGCTCGTTTTTGCGCATGCCTACGACAGCAGGCAGGTGGTTTGTGCTCTCGTAGTCATTCAAGCGTGGATAGACGGTCTCTCTAATCAGGTTCGAGATTTCGGGGCGTATGTGCCGCTGAACATTCAGTTGAGCTACTGGAAATGAAGGCGTCCCTCGTTCTCCAACCGAGAAACGTTCAATTGGCTGCGATCCAGCTGATACAGAGTCCCCTGTCGACTTTCAAGCGAGGGTCCATAGCTGTTGATCTGAGGAAGTAGCTGTTGGTGATCCCCAATCTGGATAAAGTACTCCACGTTCGGTAGCATCTTTCAATTCACCAAAGATGTCGTGACGAAGGAGGCGGAAGTGTGTATCGAGGTGGCGCTCTGCCTGGTCATTGAGGAAATGAGGTTGGCCGAGATCGGTAGAAGGCAAAAACTCTGGGAGGCTGCTTCGAATCTCCATCTCAGTTGGGAGGATTTGGATCTTTGTGATGTCGGTATTGTCGGTATTGTCGTTATCGTGGCGATCTCCTGGTACGATAGTGTCTCGAGGATAAGTCGACGTCGCGATAGCAGTTGAGACACCACTCACCCGTGGCACCTCCTCGTGGTTAAGAAGGCTATTCGCACGCGCTATTGTTGCTCGAAGTTCACCAATCCGATTGATGACATTCTGAAACGCTACACATTGTTTATCCATGCCAGTGACGTCCGTGGCGTTCTCCAACGAGTTGACTAGATCTAGAAGATCATCATGAAAAGCTGCTCGCTGTTCCCTTCTCAGCAGCTCGCGGATGGCAGTTGACATCGCGATGAGCATCGTTTCAACCGATGAAACCGAGACAATAGATCCGAGGTCTGCCTCGACCAGGTTTGTGCTGAGATATTGGAAAAAAGGGATTGCTCGCGTCCCGTTGCTACCACTAATGAAGCTGTACAAGCCTCCGACGAAGGTGTCGACGGATAAGCAGTCCAATAGGGCTTGGTGGGAATAACCAAGAGGAAGGGTTGCGCGAGAGCAACAAAGGTGCTGCATCCATGAGTGTGTGCTACCATGCTTAAGAGTGTCTGAATATGTTCACGGCCATAATTCTCTTATCATCCAGATTTCGTGGGAGCATCTGCTTCCAGTCTCGATCGTCTGCGTTCAATATCGTGAGTGCGCTATTCCACAACAATTCAATTGTTCCGATATCGTTTCTCTTCGGCGGAGTCTTGATGAGCCTCTTCCATGAATTATAGTCCTCTCTCGTGTGTTGTTGCTCAGGGGTGTCTGCCAACCTTTCGCGGGGTTGCAGTGGAGATTCATGCGAGTTCGAGTTCGACAAATCGTGGGAAAAGGTACATCCCGCACTAAGCCGGCAGCGTCCTCCTTGCTGGATGTTTCGACAGAGAGTACGTCTGCTTCCTTCTGCTCCACCTCCACCTCCACCTCCACTCCATCCACTTCCTCCTCTTCTCCCAGAACTACCTCCATCAAACCTGCCTCCGGAGTTCAAACCTTGCCACCTCGTACCTGGCGATGTCATGAGGGTTATATCACCAATATGAGCGGTAATGTGCAATAATTGCAAACTTTGCCAGCTCAAATAATCCAACGGAAAGAGTAGTGGTTGATAAACTGAGTCTAGTAGAAGTGAGTCTTCTTCGAGAACCTACGCGTACAGGACTTACGATTATTTATAAAATGAACAAGCGATTGGTGAACGACAGCTATTTTGTAGCTGATTCGCGGTCGAACAGCCTTCTGCATTTGCAGGGAGTCCATAAAGCACGATATCATAGGACGTAACGAAGGATGGTCGCACAGAAAATGACAAATCGTAGGGGCTGCGTCTTCCGTTGATGAGATGACTGGCGAAAGCTGGCGAGTGGTAAGAGCAACCGCAGGGAGACATAGAACTCTGTAGAACCATAAATCTTAAGTGAAAGGAGTCATCATGGAAGTGACGCTGTGAAGACTTCGCTAAAATTCAACAGCTGGAATCATCTCTTCCGGAATAACATTAAACCGAATTCCGTTGACAAGGCTGACCGAGACCGTTTTCTGCATGGGAAACGAATCGAAGAGCTACAAAGAGCGGATGGGATCTTTTTACTGCCCTGCGAAGATAATGGATCACGTTGAACCGGTTCACCTCCAAAGAATAGATCCGGAGGCCAGGACAGGAGTGCTGCCACCCAACGTGCAAGTCTCAGGGGCTGGTTCTCAAACACTTGCAGCATTTCAAAAGTCATGTAGAGACCGTGCACGACATCACGTTTCGGAAACCCAAGTTTATATGTTTGACAAAATAGACTACTCTGCTTTTCAAAGATGGATTTCTCTGTTCTCCTAGATGTCTCTCTTCACACTACTCTCCGGACCCAAGTCACCAATCCTAAGGTATTAATTATCCTGACTTTTGTTCGTATTTGACATAATCCTCAAACACGATTAGTGAATGGCAGAGTCTGCTCACTCGCGAAGGCGTTCCACCACGGAATGCAGTGGATTATGAGACGGTGGGACCTTCACGCAATCCTATCCTGCATAAACTGCAATAGCTGTTAAACATGTATATTTAGCTTCTAGATTACTTCCTGGGTCTTGAACGGCGCGTCTCCTCTCGCTCAGACTTTGAAATCTCTTGAGGCTTTGCGGCCTCGACTGATATTGACTTCTTGGATGATGCGTGGTTGCGAGGGTCTGCAGAGTTCCGCTTGCGCGTCGAAGGATTGCGCTGTAGAGATTTGGGGACTGGTGGTGCCGCACTTGGATTTGCGAATATGCCATATTCGACTGGTTTAGCAGCGAGTCTTCGACTTGCTCGCTCCGCCGTGGATACATTTCGCTGTTTTGTTTTGTGATGCTTTGACTGAGGGAATTTGACGTTGGTCGCATTATCCGCTTCTAACAGAGTTTCTGCGAGTGTCGACGCGGGTCGTTTGGATCGGTTGCTCCCCACGGTTCTACCACGGCGGATCTTGTGAGAAGCCTCCTTCGTTGGTTTCTGAGGTCGAAGGGATACGCGTGATTGTGAATTAATACTCTCCGAACGAGCATCAGCATGCTTGTCTGCGGTTGCAGGTGATAGATTTTTAGGCCCCAACACTGATTCCACTCTTGTTAGCCACGAATCAGTAGAGTATGTGCTTGCATTGCTGCTAGCTTTCACATGAGCGCCTGAGTTATAAAACTTAGAATTCTGGAAGCCTAGTAATAAACTCAGCTTTGTAATTGTTTAGGAACTTGGGCAGCACTCCGTTAAAATATCTGGGTAGAGATTGCTGCCTGAAGAAACTCGAAATTGGAAGTCTCCAGCCACATTACAGGCGCCACCCGTTGCGGCTGAATTCCAAGACTCTGTAGCGCCACAATAAATCACGTGCCACAATCAACACCCCATCCTCGGTGCATGCCGCCCAATATACCCAAGCACGACTGCACATGTCCCCTCCTAATCAAGTATGCTGTATCTGTGGTCGTGCATAATTGATTAGCGAGCGAATTGGTTACCTGAATAATTCCAATGCATAATGTTTGTCTGGCATCGGCGGTATCACCCCGCTCAACTACATGCCCGTCATCTTCACTTGCCTGCATATGTCTGCCTAGTTGGGCAGCTTTTGGTGACTCACCCCCTGATATCATTCGTTTCCAAGTTTCCACGAGAAGACGCGGACACCAGTAAAGCACTGCGCGTACTAATCCGCATGGGAATATACGGAGAGAGAGTGGCGTGTGAATTCTGCAGAACAGGTAGGGGAAAGATAAGGAACCCTTGCGCAAATCGGGAATCTTGGACGTTGGTTTGAGTTGCCTGCAGCGAGGCTGAAGGTGAAGTTCACAGGTCAGTTCACATCAGCAGGGCGTATACATCGTTGCGCATGTCTCTTACCTGTTGCGTCCTGCATGCTGCTGGCCGTTTGGGTAGCTAAAACTAGGGAAAAGCCAGCGTTTACCCAATCGGCATAGTGGCTGGCTGGTAGTTCTACATGTTGGCTGCAGCATATTCTAGAGGGAAACCGTGAAGGTTGTGCTATCAGTGCGATAGTCGATGCATGTCGGAGCATCGCGGGCAGATTGAAGCTTTCGGGCACCAATTTACTTCTCCACCACGTGATTCGTGAAGGGTTCTTGGCGATCCCAGAGATCGGGAGCAGCCGCAGCCGTGCAGTAGCTTCGCAGCCGTGCAGTAGCTTGGCAGCCGTGCAGTAGCTTGGCAGCAGTGCAGTAGCTTGGCAGCCGTGCAGTAGCTTGGCAGCCGTGCAGTAGCTTGGCAGCCGTGCAGTAGCTTGGCAGCGGCAGCGGCAGTGGCAGCGGCAGCGGCACAGCATCTGTGGGGGGGGAGGGAATGTGCATCGGTGAAAATTCGGGGCAGTATGGAGGGCGGTGTAACAAAAAGCTCCGTGCGCTCATAGTACATAATATAAGTTTTTTTCTTAAATTATCTTTTGTGGTTTTAAAATCAACAATAAATCACAACGCAAAAGATACAACGACACAACAACAACCAACTATCATGATGTCGTCGTCGCAAGAGAAGCAAACGGAGCCTCCACGTGCTAGAGCCGAAGCGGGAGCGGAAGCCGATGATTTAAGCTTTGGTTCCGAGCCAGAATTTCTTGAAAAAAACAACGAATTCGAGCACCTTGAAAACCGCAACAACCAATTCGAGCATCACACAGGTAAAATTTAATTTACGATCCGTCTCCTACAACCATTAACTCCTAGTCTTAGCTCGTCCTCCAAACAATCCATCTACCGACTTCATTTTCGATACTACTACCAACGACGAAATGAACGCAAGACACGTGATGGACGTCTTCATGGAAGTTCAACGCGAAGAGCGAGAGCGAGAAGAGCGAAGCCGAGAGCGAAACCAAGAACACGTACAACGAAACCAAGAACACGTACAACGAATCTTCTTGCTGTTCATCTCTTTATTGTTCTTCGTCATCTTCTTGCATTTACTCATCCTTTGGCGCTGGGGAAATGCTAGATATTACTATTAAACTTGTCAAGTACGCCGCCCATTCACGTTCTCAATTTCGAAAGCAGGATTAACAAGTCTATCCAGGTTCGTTACTTCGTCCTTCGATTATCCCTCGACACAACACAACACTACCGGTCCTTTCGATGGTAGTATCAAAGACAATATCGGATGGTAACAAGGTGGTAATAAAGCAAGGCAAAGTATGGTCTGGCGTTTGGAGTTTGGAGTATCGATGGCATTGGTGGGCTAGCTAAGTGAAGGGATAGATGGATGCGGCATATGCAATCAATCGTCAATATAGTCTCAATTCAATCACTCAAACCCGCTACTTGATTCGTGAAGTTATCCAGGTTCTTGTCGATTCCCATAGAAGTGATATTGGTCGGGAGCAGCCGTGCAGTAGCTTGGTAGCCGTGCAGTAGCTTGGCATGTTGCTATTCGCGTGTGATAACTGACTTGATTTCTAAAAACTACAGAGTTGTCCTCATGCTATATATAATGCTTGAACCCACTAGCTGATGACAGGTGTCATCAGTCAATAAGTCATTGCATCATGCATTAGATCATACCCTTGGACTAGTACTACACTAACTAAGAGTAATGATTCTTCCATTCCTCAACATATGCTCAACCATAATAGTCTATGATGACTGCACAATGAGTGATCATTCAACACGCTTCCTCAGTGTGTAGTCGTCCAACACCTATCATTCTTCTAAGTTTCTCTAGCTGAATTTTATCTAGCGGCTTGGTCAGCATATCAGCTATCATATCCTTAGTGGATATATGCTCTATGAAGTGATGTTTGACGCCTATATGTTTAGAGCGTCGAGAAATTTGCCTATTCTTTGCAAGCTGTAGTGCTCCTATGGAGTCTACTTTTAGCTTAATGGATTTGATATTATATCCGAGCTCTTGAAGCTATTGTAGCATCCACAAGATTTCTCTTATGATTGCTGCAATAGCGTAATATTTAGCTTCTATAGTGCTTAAAGCTACTGTTTCTTGCTTCTTGGAGAACCACATAACTAGGCCGCCGAATAGTTTAATGGCGCCTCCAGAGGTTGATTTCCGATTATTTGAGTCTTTAGCGAAGTCTGAGTTTGAGTAGGCTACTGGCTCTTCTTTGTTGTCGTGGTCATATAGTATGCCATAGTTATGAGTCTTATTGAGATATCTCAAGTCTCTTTTCTGAGCCATCACATGGCTAGTGGATGGATTCTGGTTGAATCTCCCTAAGAATCCTCCAGGGTAACTTATATCTGGTCTTATACATAAGCTGGGCCAGTTTATGCTACCATTAAGGCGCTGATAGTCCTTAATATTTGCCGGAATATCGCTGGATATGACTCCTGATACCATGGGAGTATCACATGATCCAGCATCCTGCATTCTCCACTTTTCGAGGAGTTGCTTTATATATGCTGAGTGATGGATGAATATGCTTCCATCCTTAAGACGCTCAACCTCCATTCCTAGAAGGTGTTTGAGCTCTCCCTCACTAGTCATGTTGAACTTATTATTAAGTTCAGTCTTAATATAGTTGATCTCCGAGGTGTCGGTTCCTACTATGAGGACATCGTCCACATATATGAGGACCATAAGTGGTGGTTTCCCATCATGGTTGTCCTTGTCTTGGCGTCGTATATACATCCTAGGATCGCATTTAGATCGATGTAATCCTAGTTGTATAAAGAAGGAGTTAATCACCTGATTCCATACTTTAGGTGCTTGTTTTAGCCCGTACAAGCTTTTCAAGAGCTTGCATACTAGGGTGTCATCCTCGACAAACCCATCAGGTTGTTCCATATATATCTCTTCTTCCAGACTTCCATATAAGAATGCTGTTTGAACATCCATTTGTTGGATATTGAGGTTGTGCTTTGCAGCCAATGCAAGTACCAGTCTTATGCTGTCCCATGAACAGACAGGGGCATAAGTTTCGAAGTAGTCGACTCCCTTAGTTTGCGAATAACCTCTTGCAACTAGCCTGGCTTTGTATCGTCCTGAGCTTTTTACTTTAAATAACTACTTGCATGAGACAATACCCCTGTCACGGGGTCTCTTTATCAGATCCCAAGTGTGATTAGCTATTAAAGCTTTTATTTTTTCTTTGATAGCAGCTTTCTAAAGATCTTTGTTTTTAGATTTAAGCGCCTCCTGAATCGTAGTCGGTTCAGGTGTTGAGGTCTGTTTCACAGATAATGCTATGCTTGCATTATTCTGATTCTGGATACGTCGAGATGGTTCTCTTGGCTTAATCTATTGGTTTCTGACCCATGTCATGCCTTCTTCAGGTGGCTCCGAACGTTGGTCTCGTTCCTTTGTTATATCTTGAAGAATCTGGCTTTGGGCTTTTTGTATAGAGGGCTTTTGTGCACTGTTGCTTTGTGCATTCGAATGCTCGCTTATATTCGGCTTATTGTCGGTCTCTGTATTGGGTAAATCGATAATAGAGTGTGATGAGTTTTCACTCTCGTTATTATTATCGGAGGAATCTGGTACCTCGACTTCTATGTAGTCTTTAGTACTATTGGATGTATCGAATTCCGTATCCGATGTTTCTTCGAGATCTGCAACTTGCTTTGCATAATGTCGGGTTCGAACGATATGTGGTGAAAGAAGGTATGCACCGCGACGGTGTTCCTTAATAGTAACATAGTTTGAGGTATAAAACTTATTTTTCGCCGGGTTATATATCTTCCACCCTGAACCACCATATCCTGTCATAATACCTCTCCAAGCTTTAGCTTTAAGCTTATGCCAGTTTACTATCTCTTTTAGTATAGCCACGTACGTTAAGCTTCCAAATGCTCGCAGATTTGACACGTCAGGTTTTGTACCATGCAACGCCTCATATAGGGTCATTCCTGCTCCAGGGATATAACACCTATTATAGCATTAAACGGACGTTGCAAACGCCTCTTCCCAGAATTCATAAGGCAATTATGAGTCTTCTAACTCAGCCCTACCAGCTTCAACTAGAGTTCTCATACCCCGTTCACTAGTGCCGTTCTGTTCAGGTGTATAGACCGTTGTGAACTCTAGTATTGTTCCTCTAGCTTTTGCCCAGTCTCTTGTCTTTTGGCTCACAAACTCTAGTGCTAAGTCAAGCCTTATACTTTTGACTTTTCTGCCTATTTGTGTTTCTTGTAATAGAACCATTTCTTCAAGTGCTATTATGAAAAACTTTCGATTAAGGAAAAATCGAACTTGTCGATGTTTCGAGGCTAGATCTATCCCAGTGAGAGCATACAAATTCCCTAATATTGACTAAACTAGGGCATTACCCCATATGTCGATATGTAGCTCTTCTCCAAGCTTTAAAGCTCGGTCTAAGCTCTTCATCGTAGCTCTTGTGATCTTGGCCATGTCACATGAATCGCAGTCGTCCTTTTTGTCGTCTTTCAAATCGAATCTTGTGACATGTCCACTAGTCTAGAGTATGTAATCGACATTAATATGTCTATACTTTTTGTGCATTTGCTTAAGGGGAATAGCCCTTAATACACGTAATAATAGAGTAATCGAGAATACTCTCGATATAGTCGTATCCAATATAAATATATTAGACTTTTTGCAAAATATTCTAGTAGCAAAAGTACTATTTGTATTTAACAGTGTTACACTTCTTTTACTAAAGTTCACTTCTATCCTAGCTATTACTACTCTTCGAATAGATATAAAGTTGTGATTCCCGAGTTTTGGTGCATATTGCACACCAATTAGAATTAATATTTCACTCGATGTTAAAAGTAAAACGACTATTCTTATTCCCTAAATTTAAATTATAATATTATTTCTAAGTAGTATAAAAAGTGAGGCAGTTTTTTTGAGATCGGTGAAAGCGTTTTTATTTCTAGTATAATGATCGCTAGCTCCCGAATCTATATACTATGTTTTTATAGTATTGCTTAGTTTAGCTATATGAGTGGGATTATATACCATTATAAGCTTGTTTCCGGACGATTTGGGGTCGGAGTTGCGACTTCCTCCCGACTGTCTTTTGGAGCCAAATTTGTACTCCTCTACTTTTTTAATATAAAAGCAATCTTCGGTGTCGTGGCCATTAGCTTTGTGAATTTAGCAATACGCCTTAGAATCGGGTCCTAAGATTTTAGGGATCTTTCCTCCACGTGATAAGTAATTCCCTTTATTTTGACTTCCACTAGAGATAGATAATGCTCTAAGTGTTGTCTCGGAGGCTTGGCCGTTGCGTCCGTTCTTCATTTTCTCTTTTTTATATAAAATATCGATTCTCATAATTTTAACTTTAAGGCGATCTATATTATTCTTGTAGCTATCGAGTATAAGTTTATACTTCTCTAGCCAAGTGTGTGAAAGTCTCTTAATTATGCAACCCCCTAAAAACGTATCTAGTACATTCTTTCCACGTGCTTTAACCTTTTCAAGTATGTCGTTGAAACGCTTGAAGTACTTGGCAACATCTTCCTTTCCATCGTAAGTAACAAACTCAAGTTTTATTAAAGCCAAGGATTCCTTAGCTCCTGCAAGTGCTGTTTCTTTGTCTTGGATCTTAAGCCAAAGTTTAGCACCAGTAAGAATATTGGGAAAGTTCAACATATAGCCTAGTTCGATCAACAATTTAAGTGCTGTAAAAGCTTTAAGTTGGTTCGCATTGAGAGTTACACCTTGTACAGGCTTAGTCTCGTTGACAGTCGGATCAATGTAAACCCATAGTCTTTCTAGCTAAAAACCTAGTTAAGTTTGGTAGCCCCACTTAAAGTAGTTAGGACCGTTCAATAGTTCGATCTTGAAGCTGTTGAAGAATGACTTGGATAATGACATAGTTGGATGTTTGTTTAAAGAGTGTATAAGTGTTAGTAATTAATGATATAATATGAGAGAATAAGTATGTCGACTTATGTGACAGTCTTGTTCGAATGTTGAGTTCGCAGTGAAAGTATTGAGCTAAAACCTGGGCGCAGAACCTGTTGCTATTCGCGTGTGATAATTGACTTGATTTTTAAAAACTATAGAGTTGTCTTTATGTTATAT